GGCAGATTTTTCTAGCGTTTTGGTGCGTTTTTTTTTTGATTTCTTTAGCTAAAAATGTCATCTTGTCATTCATTGTTTGAGCGCTCGAATTCATCATAAGCTTCGACGATTATAAACAACAACGTTCGAACTTGTACCTATAAAAAATGCTAATAAAGAACGCTTTTACCCGACTACTTGAAACTGCACAACACAATCACTATTTGTTAAAACAATGAATATTATTAAAATAAACAAAAACAAAATATTATTGTAACAAAGAATATCATTAAAAGAAACAAAAATAACAACAATAAAATAATTAGAAAAAATAACATGAAAAACAAGAAAACACAACACTCAACAACAGCACCAGCCACGAGATCAATGTGACTTTTAGCTAATTTGACTGCTACAACACTTGTATTAAACAACGCATAGCTTCTAAAAGGCACAAAAGGGCAGCGTAAAATTTTGCAATATAACACAGATTTATGTCCTCTTTAATATAAACCAAAAATTATGACACGAATGTGGACGAATAATAACTATTTATCCATTTAAAATATAAAAATATTAATTTTTTTGGCATTTTCAATATAAATAACTAAATCTTAATCACTTCCAAACACAATTTCATACTCAAATGTTAACGAAGTATTTGCAAAATAACCTAAACTTCATGGTTCCGTTGAAAAATGTTTAACTTTTACAATACTTTTTAAAATAAATAAAATTTTCTACGGGAACGTTTTCACTTTTTTCAGCCTTTTTTGGCACAAAAATTTGTATGAAGTTTGACTTTGAAGTTTCACTACAAAAACACCAGTCCACTTTTGACATTAATTTCAACGACAAATGATGTAGAATTTTATATACTTTAACCGTGTGCAAAAAATTTTAACGATACTTAAAATTTAATTTTTTAATTAATCCAAGGAAACAGGGTATTCTAACCCACTGTGCGACGCCTGCTGCAATAATAACCTATTTTTCGATTGCTCAAAAAATTCTCTATAATCTTAACTAAATATAAAGAAAACCAAATTGAACAAGCTTATAAATAAGAGCATCATGTCTACTAGATTTCTATGTTATACTAGATATGACTAACTCCGTCGACTTCCTATTTCAAAGCCAATTTTTTAATTAATAGGGCAACATACTCCACAAAATTTGTTTCAGAGATTAAGCAAAGATAAATAATATAGATTCACCATACATTAATTATACTTAATTGCTAATTGGGCAATAACATTAAATTGATCTCGCTTATTTTTACAATTTTTATACCCATTAAAAATATCAAAGGTAAGAGGCGTGATTTCTCTCTCAGAGAATAGATAGTTCAGTGCTGCATCATTGTTATCAGTAGTTAATGTTGATTTTAGATTTTACAGTTGTGGTGTTGACAAATGGTTGGGTCCACACTGCGACATTGGTCTATCGCTGTTAGGCGTCGGCTTTTTACATAACATTCGTATTTTCGAAAGCACCACGTGCTCTAACAACAGCTTTAACTTCGCAAACTTTTATACCCCAAATTATTGGGAGCGGATATTACGTCATCAAATTATCGGCCGTCCAAACCGTACAATACGACTTATAGCCTAGACAGACGACAGCCTTAATTTGCATTAACAGCCTTATTTCAAATTAAATTGTACATTATCCTCATTGTTAATGCACAAAATCAAACTGAATTTATACTGAAATAACCAATTTCAATATGGCAATGCTGTCGAAATTCTATTGATTGTTGTCAAATTTGTTTACGTTTATGAAAATAAATAGGAGAAATAAAAGCAAATTTCAACATTCTTTCGAATTGGGAGCCCTTTCGCCAACATTGTAGCCGCTATTCTTCCTTTATATTAAGTATTTTTTTATACAGATGTAATTCCGAAATATGTTGCAGAAAAATGTCAATATATTCCTCCTACATACAGACAAACAATTGTTTTGAAACAAAAAAAGTGTTTTTTTAAATGCAGAAACATTCGTCTGTCAGGTGTAAATAATAATTCAAATTAAGATTTTTCTAATGCAAATTAAGGCAGTCGTCTGTCTATGGTATTATGCAAGGTGTATTTAATAAGGTGTATGCATCAGATACAACAACAAATATTTTACAAAAACAACATTGTTGTTATAGAAATTAAATTGTCATGCTGACAATCAGTTTTTGACAAAAATAAACAAAAACAATTAGTAATTTATCAAGAACTATTTTTTGAGGAATAATTAATGAATTTGTGTATTCTTGGGTTATTGGCGGTTTTAGGTCAGTGAAAAATAAAGTTTAAGACCTGGTCGCGATTAATTTTAAGTTTCCCACAAGCAGCCCATGGCTCCTTGTGACGTTGTTTATATTGTGAATTACAATCTATTTTTCTATGGAGTAGTGTCTTTCAATTTTCTTGCCTTCTTAAAGAAAATTTAAAGACATAAATCCCCGGCCAAAGACTAAATTATGGAATTTATGTTGACTGTATAAAATCTTTCTATAGGCGTATTTAACCTTCGCCGAGAATAGTGACAAGCACCAAGGCGCCGATTGCAATATAGGCTAACATAATCTACTCGATTTTATGAGTATCAGGAATTTATGGACAGATTCCCACTCATAACATAAAGTATGTGGACCATTCGGCGAACGGGGTTATAACTGATTTAAGCCTAGGTTTCCTTTCCGTCCGCCTCATTAATGTAGTTTTATTGAATTTTTATTATTAAAAAAGCCTAAATTTAAAGAGCATTTTTGAAATCGAAATGTAATATTGAAAACGTTTTTGACAATTTACTTTACAAACAACAAAGAAAAAGTTTGAAACCATATGATTGTCACTTACACCTTATTAAATACACCTTGGTATTATGTTTTGATGTAGACATAAAGCTCTAAAGTTCATTTTTGAATTTTGTCGTAGTTTTTTTATGTGCTGTATTCGTTTTTAACATTGTTCTGTTATTTTTTAGTAATTTCGTTAATTCTAACGATAATTTTATTATTTTTTATATTTTATTATTTGCAGGCTCTGTAATATCATTAATTTGATTGATTTGAGGCGTTCCCCTTTGGTAACCCTATTTTGTACGATCTTATTTCAAATCTGCTATTTTTGTCAAGCGAGAGATTCATTCGAAATAAATGCAACACAAACCTAAGTATCTATTTAATTAATCTATCATCATGTACCTTTTTTATTTTCGATACATTTCTACCGTTGGAGTGAATGCCAGAACATGCCCGATAGATCATTAGTGACCAGTGTTGCCAATTTAGCACCAAAAAAATTGATCTAGCACCTAGCATATTTTTTGGCATTTTTATTTTTTCCGGAATTTTTGAAAAATGTCGGTCTTTTTGGTTTCATCCCAAATTTCCAAATGTTTCACGATGTGAGTTGGATTCTCCTATCGTAGAAAAATGTCAGTAAATCTGCGAAAAAGTAAAAAAAACCGAAAGTTCAAACATTTTATACCCTGCACATTGTGGTGTGTATCAAAATTTTCTTAAAAAATGGTCGTATACTTCATATGGTGGCTGTGGTATTGTTTGTTTCAAAATACAGCCACTTCGGTGGAAAAAAATGTTCTAAAACCTCAAAAGTACGCAAATATAACTTTTTTATATGTGACGTATGTCCAAACAAAACCTACGTAGAAAATTGTCTGCATAAATATGTCCTACCCTAAAATATCCTAGAGAATGCTGCTAAATCCTTGAAAATACCAAAAATTTTAAAGTATACCTAAAAGTCAATTCGGACCTTCCCAAAATGCCGAAAATGTGGGGTACCGCTCTTTGGGAGCTACACCGAGCAAAACCCAATAATAAAAATTCTGTGTAGAGCTATTCTCTGTCCAATGAGAATTCAAAGCCACTTCCGCTTTATGGGAGTTATTCGGAAACATTTTTGATAATTTTTGGTGGGAGGTGGGTAAACACCCAATGAGAATCCAAAATATTATATGTATATAGTTAGAACGAATTCAGTTGTAAAACTTAACTGGGGCCACCCTAAAAAGGTCCCATATGTCCCATTTCCTATACCAAAAAACTAGGAGTAGTAGCAATGTGTACAATATTGCGATCTGTATCGTTATTTAATCAACAGACGGACATGGCTAAATCGACATAGAATTTATATATTCTGATAAAGAATAAATAGGGTCTCAGTCGAATATACACTCCGTCCACCTTTTGTAGAATAATTTTTTAAGAAATACAGATCTCATTATTAATTATAATCAAATTTCCGTCTATACATTTTTAGCACTTTTATCAGGCACTTTTTAAAATTTTTTAGCACTTTCTAGCATTTTTTTAAACAAAATCTAGCATTTTTGATCAACAAAGTTTTGGCAACACTGTTAGTGACAGTTCATCACGAAGGAAGGCAGCAAATGAACATCATTTCGTACTAGCCCACAAATTGTCATCGAATCGAAGTTGGTGAGAGGGTTATAGTTGGATATAACCTCAAGAACAAACTGAAAGGTTAGTCCATATTGCAACTGCATATTGTTTTCAAACTTTTGTAGATGCTGCGAAGCGCAATGGGTTCAGCTAGTTTATTACAAATATGACTTTCTCACAAGTTTATGGAATTATTTTTCAAAGTGGGTATTTCAAATATGGACTCTTACATGAGACTACTGGTATAATTATGCCACTGCTGGATTAGCATTGGTGAGGTTTAAATAAGAGAAACTTGATTTTATGAACCAACATTTATATCTCTGTTTATATTTTTAGAACTACTACATTTTATATACTTACCGCTGTCACATTCTTCGCTTATATTCATCTCTAACATTTTTGTGTGAGTAATATCTTTATGCGAAGCCAAGAACAAGACAACTTCCCTCTTTTCATTTTTGATAGGAACAATGTCAAAAAGACACCAGAAAGGGGAGCCTGCAATAATTAGTAACTTTAATATCGTTTTACTTTTAAGATTGTGAATAAAATTTATTTATAATCCTCCACAAAAAATTTCTTATACTAACCATCCTTTTTGTAAAATATTACTTCAAGCTTCAGTTCCGTTTTGTTCATCAGACTTTTTTCTATTTGTACTTTGTGCTCCTCTTTTGTTTCTGGTCCATACAAAAAATGACACGAACATCCTGTTATTAAATCAATAATATTATTAGAGCGTACAATAAAGTATAGAACTTAATATTTTATACGATAAATTATTTTTCAAAAACATAAAGACGCAATTAATTGCTGTTATAAATTTCTTAAACCCCTTTAAAAATTCAGCAGAAATAAAGGTATTAGGGAATAACTATTTTGAAAACATCGTATTAAGGAGCTTTACGTATGTAGGGGAAATGTATATTAAAAGTTGATTATAACATGTCAAACTCGCATTTATTGTCCGAGTGATTAAAAGCGGATCAATTGATACAAACAAAATTAAAATGTATGTTATCCTAAAAAAAATATTGATGACACAGAAGATATACCACAGTTATTAAATAGTGATAATGCAAAAACAACAATGTCATTTTGAAAGCTTATATTGTTCGGAAAATATAATAGAATGAACTTATTATTGAAAAATAAATGTTTTCGCTAAAATATGTCATTTTCATGTTTACCTAATTTCATAGTTCCAAAACATTTTTTTAGCAAATTGATTGAACAAAATGTGCACCTTTGGATGAATATTATCGTTAATGTGTGCATAATACATACACAACATATGTACATCTTATTATTCAGATTTGCGATACAACTACATCGATGGCTGTCATTAATTAAGAGAGAACTCATGGATGTAAAAAATAATGAAATTACCTTTTTGCATGATTTGCGCACGTGAATATCCAGTCAGATCCACGAAGCCATCCGAGCAATAAACAATTGGATTTCCATTCGCCTGTGCATTTCCAAGAACAAAGTTTGAGTCTGAAATTATATAATACACAATAATATATATAATAAACAGTACGTTAAGTTTAGTTGAAATCGTAGATTTAGATTTAGGGTAATTAATGGATACCCTCCACCATAGGTATACTGACAGATACTTGAAATGAAAATATAGGGAACATATCAAAAAGTGAACCTATACCGATAATTCTACAAACCGATTTACTCCGAATACAAATTTCTGCATTTTTTAATGAGAACCCCAAAGCGTGGACTGATACTAATAGCGCATGGTAGAATATACAATCATCAAACTAGTGCATTTTAGATTACAAAGTAGGAATTAGCGAATATTTGTTGTTATAGTTATATGAGGACTTTGCCTATTTAATGACCGACATATGTCAATTTCGAACCAAATATATTTGTTTTGTGTCTCAATTCTTTCCTTCAGGAGATATAATTAAGAAGATGCCTAAATGCTGACCGATATATTTCATTATCGTCAGGTTCTAGTTTATTATCACGAATTTCTTAGAAAGCGGAATGATTACAACCGATGGCTAAATCGTCTCAGAATTCCATAATTTGTAGGGTAAAACTGAGTAACGATTATCCCCTATAATATGGTAGAATACGCTTATATGGGGACAACTCTACACACGGAACTAATCAGATAACTATTTTAATATAAGAAGGAAGTTATATGCGAACTACCCCTAAAAGGGGCGAGTATTAATAATTTTGGTAGGAAAATTTGTTACCATATGTGACTACCAAATGACAGCGAATTCGCCCAAGAACCCTAAAATACCGAAAATTGAGGGTGTCTTATATGGGGGCTACCCGAAAAATGCGCCTAGATTTGTAATTTTTAGTGGAGAAATTTGGTACCCAATAAGAACCCATTGTACCAAATGTCTGCGAATTCGGTTGAGAAATACGTACTTAAACCTCCCAAAATACAGTAAATTGGGGGGCTAGAGAAAAATTGGACAGATATTTACAATTTGTAGAGGAGACATTTGGTACTCAAAAAGAACACAATGTACCAAATGGTTAAAAACCCGCTCAAGAACCCCAAAATACCGAATACTGGGGGTGCCCTTATATGGGGGCTACCCGAATAAGTGGACCTATATGTATAATTTTTAGTGGAGACATTTGGTACACAAACCCTCCATACTATGGTGGTGGAATAAAAAAAATATTAGTGCGGAGATGTGGTGATACCGTTATGAGAATTGGACGGATATTTATAATTTGTAGTGTAGACATTTGGTACTCAAAAAGAACACAATGTACCAAATGGTTAAAAACCCGCTCAAGAACCCCAAAATACCGAATATTGGGGGTGCCCTTTTATGGGGGCTACCCGAAAAAGTGGACCGATATTTATAATTTTTAGTGGAGACATTTGGTACACAAACAGAACTCAATGTACCAAATTTCAGCGAATTCGGTTGAAAAGCGCACTCAAGAATATCGAAGATTGGGCGGTACCCTTATATGCGGGCTATGCCTAAACGTGGACCTATATAGCTCATCTTCTAAATTGACCCCCCTGCAAAAAAAAGACGACTCTATGCAAAATTATGGCGATCTATCTCAATTCCTTCAGAAGATTACAACAGACGGGCGGACAGATAGATCGTCTTAGAATTTTACCCTGATTAGGAATATATATATTTATATATATACCTTATAGGATCGGAAATTAATATTTCGATGACGGAATGACAAAATTAATATACCCTCCATACTATGGTGGTGGAATAAAAAAAATATTAGTGCGGAGATGTGGTGATACCATTATGAGAATCCAAAATACAAAATTACAGCCAATTTTGATTGAAAAACTTGCTAAAAATTCCCATATTAAGGGGGTACTATATCATGGGGGCTACCTTTTAACGTGGGTCACTATTAATAAAGCGACCAGACTTTGAAAATTAAAATATATGACAAAAAGAAAAGTAAATTTTTAATAAAAAAAATACTAATATGTGTACAAAACGTACATTTTGATTTACTTATAAATGTATAAAATGAGTTAAAAAGTCGTTAATTACGACCGTGTCAAATTTTTGGTATTAAGCGGGTAATCTTGGGATATATATATACATATATATATATATACAATGTTTACATTTTGGACACTTTTTATGTCATAAAAATAAAACTAAAAAAGCAAATTAAAAAATGTTGGTTGTATTTTATTTAGTATTTTGTACTTAACAAAACAACCAAAATTTAAAACTTCAACTCTTAAATGTCTTAAAGTACATTTACATATACGATTTTAAATCGACTCGATTAGCGAAATCCAGAAATACACCCTAATTGTTTACACATACCCTTAATCATGATCTAAATGCCGATCAGCTGATGTTTATTAGTATACATACAAAATTATTAATTTGCGCCAAAAATATTTGTTTGCAATTTGAAAAAGAATAGAAGAATTACCACAATGGAAATGTTTTTGCAATACTGTGATCGTTTGGAAAGTAAAAAAAAAAAAACACCTGAAAACACAAAAATTCTATAATTAGTTTTATTTTCCTTTGATCTGTCATTTTTGTATTTGTCAGCCGTTAAATTTAAAAACAAACGGCATGTAAAAACAGTTGCAAATTTTGGTACATTGTGAGAGAGTTGTATTTTTTCGTACAAAACCCGCGTTGCATCTCAGTAGTATCATGATTTCGATCATGATTTAAAATAAATCCTGCTGCATGATGATTTAAATTTGTGTGGTAAAACAATGGTAAATTTAGCCTGATTAAGAAAATAAACCCTGATTCAGCCTTTAATCATGATTAAATTTTATATGTAAATTCGCTTTAAGAAAAAATAAAGAAAACGAAATCATTAGTTCTTTTATTAAGAAAAATAAGTTTGGCGTCATTTAAATTTTGAACAAAAATTAATAAATAAATAATGATAATAAATCATGAAGAAATATTTAATAACCACTGAAGAGCCATTCAGGTCTTGAGTGAAAGAAGCTGTCCTACCTTGGAAATTTCAATGGGACATTAATTGTGCCAATTAGTGGTCATATGGGTACAAGAACGGTGTCCCGTTGTTCTCAAACGTCAAATTAGAGGTCTTAAAGGTGTGTGGACCCACGTCTAATGATAAGGGAAATATAATTTGATAAGTTTTAACACCAAAATATGATTCGTAAGTACTCGTCAAATCTGTCATTGAACGGCGTGAATAGCCCTTCCCGACATTAGATATAGCAACAGTAACAAAAAAACTTAAAATCTGTATTAAAGGAAAAAAGGGCAAAATCAGGATAAGGTCGGAACTCTGGTCGACTTTAAACGTGTGATCGGTCCGACCAAAATCCAAAATTCAACCGTTTTCAATCCGACGATAAGCATTATTGGTGATGAAAACTAATTCAAAGGCCCAATGTGAAGCACGGTTGAGAAATTGCCATGGTATGGGTAGGCTTTAACGTGTGGGTCATGGAGCGATGTAAAAAAATTTACAATATAATAATGAAAGACGTCTATTGAGAGCATTGTAGAGTCATACCAACCGGTCTTGGTAGAGAGGATAAGTAATTCTGAACATGATTGTGATCAAAGACACTCGTCCAAAATCGTGATTGAATATCTTCGTGAGCAAAATTTTTAATTAACACAGTGGTCAACATAAATCGTAAAGAGAGAGGTGGGACAGTACCAATCAGCTCCTAATAATTTAGACCAGTGTTGGGCAAAATTAAATTGAGAGCAAGTGTGTGCGAGCGTAACTGAGAATTCACCATTAAAAACGACTGACGTAAAGAGAAAGAAAGAGAAAATGTGTTTACCCATCGACCCTCAGTTACGGTAGCGTATATGGCCGAGCATGTCTGATTTAGACGAACTTTGACAGCGAATCTCATGTACTAAAATTGTTAGAACGTATGCCAAATTGCATAAATTACGCTATAAAAATATAAAACTACGGTATAAGTAATAAAAATATTTGTTTTCTTCAAATTTGATCAAACGTGCAAAAGTGAGTACATTGGAGTTGATTTATTTTTTTTTTTTCTTAGAAATCTAAGAGTTACATTTTTAACTATGGGTAATTTTGTTAAGTACAAAAGACGTTATAAAATAAAACTAACATTTTTGAATTTGCTTATTAACTTTTATTTTTATGACGTAAAAGTTGTCCAAAGTACAAACATGTACTCGATTCTGCTCGTCACTGTATATATATATATATATATGGAATATAGCAAAGAAGTAGACCTATGTCGACTATGTTTTCCAAGGATATTTTGCAACCCATAGTCCACAAGGAATAAATTACATTCACTTTTTAATGCAAATTTCTGTAAAATTAAAAAATGAAAAAAGTTTGGTTTCTTTATATTGGGGACAAAGTCAGTCAAAATCGTTCTTTATAGTTCATTTGTTATTTTTAAGCTATCCGAATTATTTCATCGTTCGTTCAATCACAAACATTGGTCTTGACCTAAACGTAACTAAGGTGACCATATATCCTCTTTTTTTAGAGGACAATCATCTATTTTAACTGACTGTTATCTATAAAATTTACGTCCTCTGTTTTTCATCTATTTCTATATTCTGTCATCGTACCCATCTATATTTTTAAACCCTTGATCAATATTAATTTTTGTAAATTAAACAAATTAATATATTTTTTGAAATTTCACTGAAATAAAGAAAATACCCATCATGATTTTAAGGCACATTTTCCATTCGAATTATCTATCTGTTTTTTTATATTTTGAGGTATAATTGGGTAACAAATTTCCATAAAAAATTATTAATTATTACATTTTGGTATGTTTAGGATTCTTGGACACGATTTGCAACCGAATTGGCGGAAATTTGATATTTTGGGTTCTATGTGTCTAGGAGTCCCCAATATAAAGAAACCCAGCTTTTCATTTTTTCTTTAACTTTACAAAAATTTGCCTTCAAAAGTGGATGTAATTTACTATACGTTGTCGCCTATGGGTTGCAAAATATCCTTGGAAAACACAATTAACATAGGTC